CACGAGACGTCGAATGCGCAGGAGACGGGCTCCGTCGCGAACGCAGTCGGCGCGAGCCGCCGCGAATAGCCGCTTGGGTGAACTCGGAGAGTGAGCGCTTATACTTCTCGATCCAAGCGTGTTCGGTCGGTATGAGCGGATACTCGACAATATGCTGATCCCACTCAGCTTGCGTCGGGCGTTGCCCGATGTCACACGAACTGCAACCTTCGCGTACGTTGACATAGCACAAACGGTCTTCGGTCCAAGCGCCGTCGCAGACTTTCAGGCGCAGATCACCGAGTGAATGCTCGGCTTGTAGGGCTTCGCGATCACCGAGCCAGCCGACGAAACTTTCTCCAGCCTCATGCATCCGATTCCACCGTCGGATGAATGCGCACCATGATCTCTGCAAAGCTTCGTACGTTGCGCCGTCGAGTGTTTTGTTCCGGAGACGCCTGAAGCGCCGAAAGTGGTCCTGCATGGTGTCCAACGCGTCCGGGGTCACCGCCCGGGACAAGTCGTACAGCGCCCACGGCTTCATATCCTCGTTCATTACGCCGGGCCGAACCCCAGGTCGACTCACGCTCTCAGGTGCGATATCAGTGGTCCACCCACTGTTCAGCGTCGTCGCCGACGCTGGAGCCGTCCGCGTTGTTCCGCTTCCTGCCTGGTTCGCCGCCCCCGTCTGCTGTGCCATGTTGTTCTCGTCCGCGCAAGTTGTATTGTACTGCTCCTGGGCTTCGCAGGAGATCCCGCGCGTCAAGTTCTCAAGCGTTCTCTTCTCCGCCATTTCCCAGTTTTTCCCAATTGTTCTCTGAAGCGCACGCCCGTTAGGTGATTGCTGTCTTACGAGGGGGGTGAGGTAGTGGGCCCTCCCAAGTTACATATGTAGGTAGTTTTATAGGTTCTTTGCAGTGGTTCACACCATTACATAAGTTGGTAGATTTGCATTACAAAAGTAGGTGCAGCAGCACACGAGTAGCGTGTGCTGAACTGCCGTCACCTTATTGGTTGAAATATGGGAGCCAGACCCATAATCAACCAATAAGGAGTTGACGTGTATTTGAGTGGTCAGGGCAAGCTGCTCTGGACCTAAATAAAAACAGAGTTGATTTTCCTTCAGACTAAGTACTTGGTTTCAGTATCACTGGACTTGTACGCTTCCTCATCACTACGTGTAAGCAAGTAACGGACACCCCAGGTCCCGTTACATCTGCAGAATGTGGACTCGCATTTTGAGATCAATGGGCAGTCATTACAGACATACCGTGCATCTCTCCTCCAATTCTCGGACTTTGGCGATGTCGAA